ACAAGATCTCTATGAGGAAAACAATCTACATTATTGAGAGAAATTAAATACAACCCAAATATAAAATCCTAGCAAGTGTTTTTTTCCTCCTGAACTTGACAAGCTCATTCTAAAATGTATATGAAAAAATAAAGGACAAAGAATACTCTAAGACATTCTTTAAGAATGAGGTGGGAGGATTTGATTTACTGGGTATCATGACTTATTACAGAACTAAAGTAACTGAGATATTTGTAGTATGGATGTGAAGATAGACAAATAGACCAATCAAAAACTAGAAGACCCAGAAATGGATCCATGCATATATGGGCACTTCATATATGACAAAGATGGTATTATAGAGCAGTGCATTTCATTAAAAAAAAAAAAAAAAACTGATATAACTGTATATGTACATAAAAAGTGAAAGTTGAACTCTATCTCAAAAACAAATTCCTCCTGGAATAATGATTTGAATGTGAAAGAAAAAAACAATAAAGCTCATATAAAAAAAAGTATCTTTGTAACTTTAATAGGGGTCAAAAAGCATTAACCGTAACAGAAAATATTGACCAGTCTGACTACAAAAGATACCATTAAGAGAGTTAAAGTGGGAAATTCTACAACATATATAACAAAGGATACACTATCAGTATATATAAAAGAATGCCCATAAATCAAGAAGAAAAATTTCAAACAACCCAAATACTTAAATAAGCATATCACAAAAGAGAATACCTAAGTGGCCATAAACACACAAAATGGTACTCAACTTCATTATATTAATAATGGAAATGCAAAATAAAACCACAATGAGGAGCAACATCACAAAAAATGGTAGAGTAAGGAGCTCTGAAAGTTCACCTCTCCATAAAAGCAGCCAAAAACATGACAAAAATAGAACCAACATTTTTCAGAACTCTGGAAATTAACCAAAGGTTTGCAGCAACCTAAGGAGCAACTAAAAGTCAACAAAAAATGGTTGAATGTTGATAAGAACAGTGAATTTTGAGGCATCTGAACTTACCCTATTCCTATTCTCCTGCTCCCCATCAGCCTCAAAAAATAAC